GCAGCCCGTGCTGTACTCCAGAGAGGCCCCAACATCCTTGTAAACAGAGACTGGACTCAGGAAACAGGCGCACAGCAAAACTCACCAAACATCCTGCCAGGAAACACCAGATTCAACAATATCATCAGCGTGCACAAAGCAGCCAGCTCAAGTGACTTCGCAATACACACAACACACCCGCAGAATGCGCGTCGTATGCACTCGTGCCCGTGTGGGCTGTGCGCGATCATACAGTGCTCCTTACAGGTGTGTGTTCAGAGCACGGACATGCACACCAGCAAAGCGCACCCTGAACGCAGGAGGCTGGCACGCACCTGATTTTAATAGCATACTGTAACTCCAATTTTAGTTTGGTGGGCTCATATCCTGGGGTATAGGGGTTAAATTCTCAGGGTGATCCTCCAGTATATGCTCTTCCACTGAAATTCTCTCTAGGTTCTGGGCTTGGTTTAACTTCAGTCAGTTCACTACTAAGAACTTGAGAAAATGCGGTTCATGTAGAAATATGATTTGGGTAGCTAAGGTAAATACACTTATTTTATCTGAAGCTAAACCAAAGTACACCTACACATGTTAGCTTCTGGTTATCTTTTTGAATGAGAGCTGACATGCGAAGTGTCAAACAAAGAGCCATTTCTGAAAGGTTTTTTTTGATTAATACATTAGGACAAATTCTTATCCTTCCCGAGTTTTGCCAGTGACTTCCATGGATTATGTTATGGTCCTTAGAAGATAAGGTCTTTAAATAAATGTGATTTTTAAGAGACACTGTTTAAGAGATTAGTCTGGGGATCTTGTGGGTTTGGATTTTTTTTTTTTCACACAGTATCCCCAATATCAGAATTGAGACAGCATGTGTGTTGGGCTAGACGCACTGTCAGAAGGAACAATATCTTCATGCAGGTCTTGGCTGTTACGAAAAGGTGTTGGCAGTGATGGTTGGTAGGGCCTTAAGACTGATGCTGTAAAGATGCTGTATGCCAAGATGAAAATACATTGCAACAGCTGTGCAGCAGTTGTTTTAATGCATCCCCAGGCTAAATAGTCCATTAAGCAGTGCATGAGCGGTGATGGCACAACAGAGAATCCACAGCATTAGCAGTGACAAGCAGATAATGCAAAACCATTCAGGACTGCAGGAATTACCATATTCCAGAGTGACTTGATTTCCTGCAATTTCACCATACATGGGATTGCTCTGCAACCTGAGGAGCTTTAGGGTAGAGGAGACTGAATAAAAAAAATCACTGAACCCAAAGGCAGATATTTGCCAATAATTTCCAAACTGTTTTCAGGATCTAATCACCCCACCCCTCCCCAACAGTGGATATAATACAGGAAGCCTGAAGTGGTTGCAACTTGAGTGTGTTAAAACAGGAAATAAGGCAGTTGTCTGTGTCTTCTTGGTTCTTGAAAGTGACCACTATGGTTTAGTCTAGCTCCACCACATACTTTGCATGACAGCACGTTTGGTCACAGTTTGCTTTTCTTACTGAAAGGAAGAGAAAAATGCTGCTTCTGAATACTGGGTGCATCTATTAACAACAGGACATAGGCTACTGGGAAGTCTCCAGCTGCCAAGAGGCACTTCTTTCTTTGCAGTTAACATCCGGGTTTGAGCAGCTGAACTCTCCCCGGGAATCAAAAATAGTTCCTAAGCTGGAAAGTGCCAGAAACTCATTTCTGTGCTTTCTTTGTTCCAGTAATACTTTCAGCCTCTTGTGACCTTCAAGCTGGTATAACCATTTTAGACTACTTGAAATTTATCTGTTTATCCCAAGTTTAAACTACTTTCCTCTCCAACCTGATTTCTTGTCTTTCTTTTAAATTCGCTATGTCTGTTATAATAGCTGGGTTTGTGACACTTCGGCGTTTGCCATAGTAGTGGATTATGGTGGCAGTTATGAACACATTGGAAGACAAAATGGTAGCAACTTCTTGGAATTTGGTCCCAGCTTTAGCCACAACTCCAAAATGTTTTTGTAATACTAGCAAAGGCGAGTGTTTCACAAGAGATCAGTAAGGAAGAAAGTAGCATCTATTGTGAACTGGTCATCAGCAGGTTTCAGTGTTGCTGCTGCCAAGAACACTGTTTCTTAAGACCAGCTCCTGGAGATTCTGGCATGGCCATTTTTCCTTGGCTGCAACAAAGTAACGATTTAGACATTTGTTGCTATTGTTACAGTCTGCTGATGCCAACTCAGTAAAAAAGCACTGCAGCAATCCCATGTTTGAAGATTGGGGTGAAATCCATCACTTTCAGCACATGAAAGCCTGAAGTTTCACAGAAACCAATGAAGCCATCAGAAAAGTGCCGTGCCAGCACCGTGTCCCATCCCACCTGATCTTTGATTATGACTGCAATACATGATTGAGGAGGTAAAGAAGCTCGTGCATCTATTCATAAAGAAACAGGAAATATTAATAAGAGGGAGGAAAAAGAAGAATTAATGGCAAAATGTATGACTTCTGTAATAAGCCATCTCTCCTCCCAACAGTGGTCCAGGGTGAAAAGCTATCAGCACTTACAGAGGCCAAAGCAAATACGTATTTCAGGCTTATAAGCCATTCATTTAAAAATAAATTTTGCAAACAGTACTTCAGTGTTAATATCTGCCCTAATGCTCCGTTCTTTATGTCTTTTTTTCTGGGAAGGAGCTCTAGAGAATTTTTCAGACATTAACAGGTAAGCAGAAGGTAACAAACTCCTAAGACACAGGCAAGTATAATTTTCCCTTTTATACTGATAAATGCATAAAAATGTCTGTGGTTGCACACCAAGCTGCCTGAAAAGTTGAGAACAGAGCTCAGGATCCTGGAGTCTCAGATAATGTCTAACTGCTCATGTTAGCATATAATGCAAACCAGAATGCACGGGTGTTAATAGCATATCTCCAAAACAGCGTGTTTTAATCTGTTTTGGATTGGAAATACTTGCAAATTTTGGACTGGTGTTCCAGCCAACTGATGAAAGGTTCATTTATCTTAACTGTCTTAGAAGAATGTTGCAAACCATCATTGAAAACTGTTGCTCTAACCAACAGGGAGCTGCAGGTATGTGTTCAGAGGGACAACACTGAGGCAATGCTCACAGTTACCAGGTAGCTTACATAGATATGGGCAGCAGGAACTAAAATCCAGTCCTTGAGCTTCAAGGATACAAATCTTGCCCAAGTAAGTCCAAAAACAACTTCCATAAACTTTAGCAGTAGGGTGTTCTCTGTTGCTTCTAACCAGATCTCCTAAGGCCTTAGGTTTGGACTTCCAAGTGTGAAGGCTACTTGCTGAAAGTATTCAGGAGCTCCCATCCTCCTGATCACCTTGGAAACCTGCACTCTTTTGCAGAATTGTGGCCTAGACAAAGCTGTAGGTAGCTGAGGCACAAATGGAGGGCTGCACAGCTCATGCTCTCGTGTGCAGGGCCGATGGGACATGTGAGGAGGGCTGCAGCCACCACATTGCTGCTGACGTGTAAACAACTTGCAGTCTGCAGGTTTCAGCCAGGGTTCACAGCTGCGAAAGTGTGGGAGAAGATATGAGAGAGACAGGAAAAATATGAGAGAAATCTTACCAAAAACAAATGCCGAGGGTGCCTGGTTTTGCCAGAGACTTTCATCAGCGTTCCCTCTTTAACAAAGATCTGAAGGAAAAAACAGCAGATTGTAATCCTGAGACTTCTCATTTCTGAATCATGTTGAGAAAATAGAATTTTTCTCTTGGGGAGAGAGCTATTCTTTCATCAGCACAGGAAGAGATAGATACCGCAACACTTACTCCTAGCCTTACTCCGTGTGATCTGGCTCAGTCTTTGCTTGGTTTAGCCCTGTTGTTCTACATGGCTCACTTTCGTATCAGTGCCTGATGGGTTGGAAACTCACTCGTCCACAGCCCACTGCTTCTGCTGGGTGGACTGTGAATTTCTGCTGCTTTGAGACTGTTACTTAGGCAAAGAAAACTCTGAGCCTTTCCGGGCTGCAAGGGGTACCTGCTAGTGTTGCAACCTTTCAACTGGTGTAAAGGGGGAGCAAAGCAGCAGCTCCCTCAAAACCCACTGCACATGGGGTGGCTGAGGACAGCTGGAGTGAAAGTCAAATGGCTGCTCTGTGTAAAAGCAAGGGCAGCCCGTGTCTTTCCCAGCCTGAGGCTCTCAGCACATCTCTTTGCACACTGCTAGAGCAATGACTTTTTACACAAAACAGTGTTCCAACTCTTACCACAGTAGCTCAGTAAACAACACCTGTATACCTCTGAAACATGGCCATCCATGCAGTTAGGTATAGCTGGCTGGAAACAGTGGCCTTATCAGCGCAGGTCTGCCTGCAGCACTCACCCTTCCTGGCTGGAGGAGGCTGCTCTGCCCTCTCACGCTGTTCTCAATGTGTACGAGCTTCTGCAAGTTTTCCTGGGGGAGAGAAACAGTGTTCAGCAGACTGCGTGGTGACTACTCTTTAGACAAGCAGGCAAACCCTCCCCACCTGTTTATTTCTCTAAAAGTGATATTACGGAATTAGGTTTCAGAAAGAACTGAGCCTAGGGATTTTACACCCAGAAAGTCTTCTTCCAGCCTAAGAGGTTTTAGAAAACCTCTGTAATTCTGTGATTACCTGCATTCACATTTGCTGTGGCCTTCTACAATCCTACTATTTCTGATACCTTAGTCCAGCTTCAAAAGGGCCTGCTAATTCCATGTGGTATTTACACATTGGCCTCTTTGCTGACTTTCTTGCTCTGGGAACTAATAAACTGGAAGCAGAGGCAAAGTACAGTGTCTGCTCAAGACCTGTGCACTAGTGGCAGGACACAGATAATCCAAAACATGTTTTGATACTGTAAAACTGTTGCTAGGGTTATCTGGAGGTTTATATTCTGTGAAAATTGATTAAATGGCTTTGCAATAAGGGATTTAGAAAGTTAACTAGTAAGCAGACATTAAACCGGCATGTCTCTTTTGGTGCTCTGCAAAAATCAGGAAGTTCATTATCAAACTCTGTTACTAGTAGCTGCCTACCTGGCCTTAAAGTGCAGACAGTCAGTGGGCACTGACATGTGGCATGAATTTATCTATGAAAATGGTAAATAAAATTAATCTAGCTAAGCCTGTGCTCTCATAAAAAAGATGGTATTGGATGAATACACGAAGGAAGAAGAAGGGATGTCTGTACCTTTGCAATATTGCTAGAATCTTTTAAAATCTTCCGTTTAGCAGATGAGGCTGCTAAAACCAAGGCTTGTACAATAGGATTCAGCTGTGGTTTTATCTCATCAGAAGAGTAGAATGGGCTGCACAGCAGCCATGAGTCATCACTGGCAGATGTCTAAAAACTACGAATCTCTCTAGGTTAGTCCTTGTATCCTCAGTTACACACCCAGACAAATTTCAGACTAAGGACCATATTTGATATAGTTTCATGACCCAGCAGCCTTTGACTAAAGTTTTCTGCTGTGACAGATAATGCTCTGTTTTCCTATGCTCCACTGACTGGCATTAAGATACCCCTGGGCTTAGTTAGACTCGATTAGATCGTACAATGTATTTGCCTGATACAAATCAGTGCTGTCCACAGAATCCACTAATTAAGCAAGCTATCACAGTTACCAGAAGGAGCATATCTGTGTGAACATGATGGTCTGTCAAGGCTAATTTACCCTGGATTCAGCTAACACAATTAGTGTACCTATCTCAGCTCGCCTTTTGAGATAAGCCTGAAATACCTCTGTATGTTACTGCCTGGATGAAGTCTTACAATTGTTTAGCGTGATACTACGTGTGCTTCTTAATCAGTAACCGCATATCGAACATATGGAAGCACCTACAATGCAAGAAGTAACAAATGAAAATGTTCAGGTCACTTCTAAAATACTATAGGCCAGCAAAATGGAAGCAGAATGTAAAAACTAAGATCACAGGAAATACCAGAGATCATGGGACAGCTGACACTTGCAAAAGACGTCTGCAAAGGACTTTCCCATCACTAAAGGGTGTTTAGCAAATACCCTCCAGCAAACTTTGACAAAGTGACACCTTCCACAATGGATTGCTGTTCAGCATCCACAAGAAAGACAGTGCCCTCCTGTGAGCACACTCTTGGGCAATTCTATACTACTCAGGTTTCTACAGGAGTCAGAGGTGAAGCTGCTGCGGCTGAGATACACCTCGGCTGTTCCCAGGGCTGCTGGCGAGGCGCCTGTCACAGTGCTGACGTTTGCAGTACAGACACATGTTCACCAGGAAGAGGACAGAGATGTATCAAACTCATTTCCTGTAGGAAGTCAAACAGCCCTCACATGTGAAGGACAGCGATTTATCTGGGAATGCGGGCAGCTGAGGGGAACATAGTTTCCCTACATCCCTGTTTGTATAGTTTTCTTCATTCTGCATGCAACTATCATTCTCCTTTCAGATATCCTTCACAAGCTATGACTAAAAACTGAAAACATAACTCCACCCAACTAGTAATGCAGATGTATCTGAGTGAAATCCTTCTCTGACGACTTTAGCAGTGAACTGCAGCTTCTGTCGGGTTACCATTGTGTCCTTGCTGGAGGAACGCCTCCCCAGAGAATTCACCAGCTGTTAATAGCAACAATGATTTATAACTCTTAGCATCTGAGGGCCTCTAACAGATTGTAGAAGTTCAGAGAGCAATACAAACCCTGCTTAGTTCAAGTAGTGAATGTCTCCTAGAATTACAGATAGACTTGATGTTATGCGGCAATGGTATGCCTTATGCCTCTGTTTGCACATCTGTAAATTGCAAATAATATTTTCCTACTCGATGAAAATGCTGTGGATATAGTTAATGTCAAAATATGTCTGAAAATGCCAGATTAGTAGTTCCCAGGGAAAAACTGCTGAAGTGTTATTATTATAAAACAGAGCAGGGTCACCCAGGGCAGCCACACAGGAACGTGTCCAGGCAGGTTTGAAAGTCTCCAGAGCAGGAGACTCCACACCCTCTCTGGGCAGCCTGGGCCAGGGCTCCGGCACCTGCACAGGGAAGAAGTTCTTCCTCAGGTTGAGGTGGAACTTCCTGTGCTCTGGCTTGAATCCATTGCCCCTTGTCCTATCACAGGGCACACGTGAAAAGACCTTGTCCCTTCCTTCTTGACGCCCAGCCCTCGTATATTTATACACATTAATTAGATCCCCTCTCAGTCTTCCCTCCAGACTAAAAGCCCCAGGTCTCTCAGCCTACACCTTCACAAAATCCACAACTTTCACACAGATGGGAAACAAAGAAATTTTGTTACATCTCTTCCAGGCCACAGTTTTGAAAAACAGGAGATGTGCTCTCAAGATATGATAAAAAATGAAGTGTAAAAATCAATGTGGAATTTGTTCCAAACCAGACCTTACTGGCATCTGTAAAACTCAAGTTAAAGCATGGCTTAGTGGAGATAAAATCATTGCCACTGGTAGTACAACACAGCAAATTTGACTTTGGCCGCTCATGTATACTTCTAACTTCAGAAAAGTATGCATAAAATCTCTGATAAATCTGAGTGAAATCTAAGGTAGCAGAGGTGCCAGAAAAAGATGTGTGACTTTGATCTATTAGGAACTGAGCTCTTACAGTTCTCATCCTCTAATACAGGTATCTGATACCTAAAGCTCCAGGATTACTGCAGAAACATTTCCTGATATCTCTGTTTTATCGTGAAATATTTATTATTCTTGTACAAAGAATGCGTTCATAACAGAAAAGTATGATTATAAATTCTTTGCCCAAAGAGAAAGAAAATCAGAATGAAAACAGTTGAAAACTTTGCTCAGTAAGTCTGTAGTTTCAGAGTCATCCTGTAGAGGGGCCAGATTACATTTCTTTTTATGACAAAACTCTAGGCTTGTTAGACCACATCCTCACTGCAACCTAAATTGGTTCCTTTGTCTTGGTAACAGCATAGTGTTTATGTACTACTTACTTCTGTCAATGCTGAACGTTACTCATAATTAGACTATGAACATCACTTCTGTGCATCTTGCTTTTCTGTTATACTTCAAAGACGTGTTAGGTGTAGTGCTCAAGGACGTGGTTTACCGATGAGCCTAGCATTGCTAGGTTAGTGGTTAGACTTGAAGATCGTAAAGGTCTTTTCCAACCATGATTCTATGATTATGTTTGGATGTATTGTAACTGCCATCTACGAGCATCTAACAGCTAACGCGTAACTGCCATCGAACTAACATCTACAAAGACTTCCCTCCAAACTTTTGTCTCCATCCTATCTACTATGACTGATGACAAAACAATTTGTGCTGATACTCCCAAGTATCTTTAAATAAAGCTGAGAGTAAACAATCAAAGAGATCAGTGTAGCTAATAGCTTCCACTCAGCAAAGGTTTTGAGGCTGTTGGCCTACAGAAGCAATGCCCTGCTTTATTTACACAATTAATGTTTCCTAAGCAATCAGGAGGAGTAAAAAAAGTGCCATCTTTAAAATAAAGCTTTGAAGGGTTTGGGTAGTCACAGAGCCACATCAGCTGTGGCTGATGCTATTGTATGAAGGGGGAATGTGTTCTGAGGTAGATGTGCCAGGATGGCATTAGGGGTGGAGAAGCTTGGAGCAGAAAAGCAGAAATGGACATAAACCAAATCAGTAGGTCCAAGCTTTTTGAAGTTTGCTTTGGGTAAAAAGGCAGATCTAATTCTGGGTTTTGACCTCAAAATGCTCAAAATCTTGATCTGTTTTCATGTCTTGAGATCATCTCTGCACAAAAACAGAAATCCACTAGTTGGACTTCAGGTTGATCTGTGGTAATTTTGCCACTGGCTTCAGGAGAAGCAAGTTCAGAGCATCAGTTTCAGTTTCTAGCTATCAGATGGGGAAAGAGGCATTTCCATGAAGAGCTGTTTCTCTGTTCAGGAAACAGTAAGTAGTTTTAGCTACAGCTCAGCCCTTTCGAATATAAATATGGAAGGCTTGTTTTTTGTCTGTCCGTGGCCATGAGGAGATCATCATTGAACTTGATGCTCTGAAACAAGTGATGAACACATGGGCTCCATTTATGACCTTGACACACATATCAGAGACATGGCTTTCAAAACGGAGCAGCAGAACTATCCAGATGTGAGCAAAAGTTGACCGTCTTGGCTCTTGGGTTCATTTTCTGCAAGCAGATGCTTCCACTTCTCTGAACAAAGCATGAAAGCTTCAGTTTTAACAGATGAAGGGTTTTGAGACTCTTTCATTTTTACCTCCCAAGCTGTTGCAAAAAACATCCTTCATCTAGACGAGCTACTGCGTTTTTACCAAGTCACACAGCCTGAATTCGCTGCTTCAGCCAGTGCTTCCATTACCCTGCAGCCAGAGGGCAAAGGAGCTAAAGGGAATGTGCTGAGTCAGCAGAGTAGCTGTAGTGGCCTCCAGTATGTCTCTTTCGCTAACAATTCTTTCAACCTTAAAGTCCTACCTGAAAACAAGCTCTTAATAGGAACGTTGATACTTCATTTCTTCCCTTTGTCTGCATTGATTCCCAGGTGTTTTTTTTATCTTTGACTCTTGAATTTTGTGTTTTGATGCCTGAGTGATTATTAACAACCCCCTGTCTGCTCATTAAATTAACTAAAAAGAAGTGAATTGAATGTCATCTGTAATTAACCACAGGGAAGGATGTTTGCAATGCCAAAGAGATCTTTAATTTAGGCAAGGCACAGCAAAATCCCAGTGCAGGATGTTAAACTCAGCAATGTTCAAATGAGAAATAAAATGTGAAAGCTTCCCAAAAAGTGTAATACTTTCCCAATCCCTTGAAATCTCTGTGACTTAAGCTGAGACAACTTGTGAGAAATAAACTGCTATTTGATGAAATACAGAATACCTAGAGTGCGGTGCTTTGTTCTCTAACATGCATGCTGGTGAACACAAACCACTTAACAGTCAACATCTTTCTCAGCAAGTGACCTTTGTAATCTTAATGTGTTGAAAAGAAGTGCTTAAAAATGGCATTTTTTAAAAAATTGAGCTGTATTATTACTATTTTCTAGATCTGACAAGCCTAGAATTTCATCATAAAAAGAAATGGACACTCTACATAACAACTAAAACTACAGACTTCCTGAGCAAGGTTTCATTAGGCTGGAAAGACTTGTAAGCACTTCTTGCTAACTGCTTGAGCTGGATTTAGATCTGTGCAGCTAAAGCAAACATGGGCCTCAGGAGAGAAGTTTAGCTACAGGTGGGGTGGCTGGTACTACAAACCCAAAGGCAGTGCCATTAGCTGTCGCCCAGAGGTTCACGAAGTTGAATGCCTCTGTAACCTGTCTCAGTCTCTCTGCTGCCTCGTGTACCTCCCAAAACTGCTTCTTAATGATGGTCATAGAAAATTCTTGTCATCTTAGGCAAAAATCAGACCTAGATCTTTGGAAACAAAGGATGGTAGGACCAGCTGTATGCAGGCTATCTTTGCCAGTAAGTTAGAAGTCTAATATCATGTAAATGATATTAATATATCACACTGACCTTACAGAAATTGACTGTTATTTGGAAAGCTATATAACTTATTTAGATACCTAAATCTGAATTTAGGTATGAGGTCTAACTTATGAAAGTGTTGTCCAGTCTATTTGGTTGTGTGATGATTTGCAAGACTATAAACTAAGGCCTATTTTTCTGAAGTAAAATGGGATTCCAGAATTGTGGAAAATTTATGTAAATGAGCTTAGAATGTATCTTTGACAGTGCATGTGTCATATCTTCAAATTGCATATCTAAAACCATGTCAGGATAGAAACAGAACCATGAAAATTCTCGTTTCACTTCATTGCTATACATACCATTTCAGCAACCCCAGGAGGGAAAAAAAGCTTTGTTCTGCTTGCTCTGGTGATTTACATCTTGCAGAGCTGCACGAAAGGGCATAGACTTACTCCACGTCTGCAATACTGTAAATCAGATCTGTATAAACCCTTGAGTCTCACGCTGGAGGAGGCTTCAGAATTTAGCAGAGATATGTATTCACTTCAGCGGATGAATGGAAAAGGCTATTGATCAGGAGAACATGTCACAGGAGGACTCACCGCTTGGAGCATGCTATCGTTGGCTCGGTCAGTGATTTCAGAAACAATTAATAAGGCAGCTGAGGGATAAAGCAAAAGAAACAACATAAATCACATAAAAGAGTAGGAAAATAACCCAAATTCCTTATGTTTTCAAGAACATCTTTTAAAAAAATCCAAAGAATGTCCCCAGCAGCAGCTCCTTTAACTTCTTTGGCACTTTCAAAACTCAGCTGCCCAGCAAATCTAAGACATGGGATAGGGCTGTCAGTTCCTCTTCCCTTTATCCTTCTGTGCAAAACTCTGCATCATACTTGTGCTGACCAAGAGAGTTCATCAGGTCCATTTTAAACACACGAAATCTTTTTGTGATGTTTTCTAGTTGCAAATTTTTTTAAATTGGAGCTTGTGGTAAGGAGAGATAAATGTAACCCAGCTTTAACCACTCAGAACCTGGCAACCTGAAGTGATCTGTTTCCCCGTACTGGCAAAAGGTCATTCCTTTCTGAGAGAACTATGTGTGAAGTGGTGACATGAATTAACGCCTGGATTCTCTACTGGCAAATAACCTGAGCCCGGGCATGTTTGCTGGCCCCGGGAGCAGTGGCATAACATGGCTTAGGTCCTTATCTCAAATATTTTCCCGCATGGAACAGGGCATCCTATCTGTGTCCTGGCATAATCCCGGAGCATGCTGGCCATCGCTGGGCAGAAACGCAACGAGTATGTGCTAACCACAAAGAGGACAGGCCATTGTGGCCAGGGGGCTTGAGCGCCTGCCCTGGTCTTGTTTAAATTACCATTATAGCTGTAGTCCCACTGTCGGTGAGTAGGGCCCTAAATCTTGCATGAGACTCTACTCTTGTCAGAACACACCAACCTTCAGTCAATTGCAAGCCTTTTTACTGTGAGGTGGTTTGGATTTACACTCAGGGTAACAAAGAGGGGAATTGGTTCCATTAATACATTATTCCTGCTTACTCCAGCCTGGAAGCTGCTTCCACTGAGGCAACAGTTAAACCTTGCTTTGACTTCAGTGAGAGTAACAAACTTCCACTTTATCTGCCTGGTTGGATGGGATGGTGTTAGTATCTGAATATCTGGATTGTGCAGAACTCATTTTTATGCAGTGTCTTTACAAGTTTACTTAGGCTTAAGGAATCCAGAATCCAGACGGACAATTCAAACCTCCTGGGTTTCTCCAAAGTTCATCGAGCGCAGCAGGCAAACCACAGGTAACGGTACACAAACAAGCAGGTGGAGCCATCCCACCTGACTTTACGATGACCAGGCCAAATGTGGAGGGAGTCAAAGAGGTCTAGGATTTCCTCTGTGACCGGGGCAAAACTACAATATCTGTAATGCTTGCATAGATGATAATTTCTTCTGCAAGTTCACAGTATCAGAACTATAGGAAGCTTACATTTCAGTGAAAAAAATATAGGGTTGTTGCCCTAAATAATTTGTCTAAATTAGTAATCAGTTCTTATAGAAATTATATCTAACCTGTTAATACAAAATGTTGAAAATAATCCTTTTCTGTATTCTACCAGTATAGATCCTATGTCTCTGTAGAAGCAGAGTTGGCAAAACAGATTTTTTGTTCTATCCATTTCATTTTACCTTGTGTGGCTTCATACTCTGTAGAATCAGGGGAAAGATTATTCAGGTAATCTGTAGAAAATAATCAAACAAACACAGACCTCCATGAATCATAATACAGATACACATAATTTGTAGCATTATTAGCTAAAACATAAAATCCTAATCATAAAAACATAGAGGTTTGGGTTGGAAGGGACCTTAAAGATCCTCTAGTTCCAACCCCCTGCCTTGGGCAGGGACACCTCCCACTAAACCAGGTTGCTCAAAGCCCCATCCAGCCTGGCCTGGAACACCTTCAGGAATGGGAAAGACACAGTAATGTCCCATATCGCTTTATTCACAAATAATTAACTGTACATAGCCTCTTTCCAAAGCAAACTTCACTCTGCCTGCATTCTACTTTGAGAATCAATGCAAGAGCATTGGTACAGATTTGGCCTTGTCACATAACTTGTTACATATAAATGAATAAACAAAAAGTGACAAAAATATTTCCTTGTTTCTCAGCCAAGGGATTTGCTAAGTAGCACCAGTTTACAAATACTTGTTTTTCTAATGAATTCTGTAAATGAATTATGTGCATTTTATAGGCATGAAACGAGACTTTGGTTCTGTATGTGCAGAGTTCAATGACTGCTACTGAATGCAATCACATCCTGAAAGCAAGCTCCGTAAAATACACACAACAGGACTTACATGTAAAGGAATTATATTTGCATTATATACAAACCTTCAGCTTGTCACTTTTATTTGTCTTGGATCATCTGTCTGGGTCTTTAAGCTTTTAATGACTGCAGTATAGGAGTGTCACCATTTTAAAAGCCCAATTCTGAAATACTTCATTCTTATCTTTTTGACGAATTCAGGCTCCTAAATTCTGCATCCGAGAATTAGACATCTGTGCTGAGAGTGGTGCTGTGTGTGCATATCCATTCCCTTGAATGTCCTATCCATATGCATTTCTCTTTCTAGTGCTATTCCTAACATCCTGAAATCTAACTGGCTTTTACACATGGGAAAGCGTCTGCCTGTACTCAGGCAGGAAGGGCTCGCATGGTGTTGTCAGGCAATATTTTGCATTCCTTTTCATAGCTGCAAGCTCTGTCCTTGGCTATGGAAATTCAACTGAGCAGGCAACTCTTTTTGGCTATAGTGCAGTAATTGGCAACCAATATCCTCATAAAATGCCCTTCCTTATCTGGTACAAACAGCTACTTATGAGCAAAGAAGTACACCTGATTTTTTTTTTTTTTTCATGTTGTCTAGAGAATCGAAAGACTGCACTGTTCCAGACACAGGAAACAAAGAGGGGCTTTGTTTCCTGAAGTGAAGAACTGAAGCTGTAAACCTGTTTTCTGGAATTTCTTAATCCAGGAGACTTTATCTCACTACACAAAAGCTTTAATTTTCCCAGTTAGTGCCAATACCTGGGACAGGGAGGATCACAAGTTGCTTCAAGCATAGATGGAATTCAATCACTGGAGCTGCAATGAAAGCCCTCCAGCTCTCCCACAAAATACCATGCTGCAATTTACCTTGTGGATTACAGAAATGGGCAGAGAAAATGGAGCACAGTGAGGGTATTTCTGGCAGGGACATGCCAAGTCCTTTTTCTTAGACACAGTATTTGTGCACATGCCCTAAAAACACTGCAAGGATCACATGAGGCTGCTAACTCACAAGTCTGGAAAGTTGTCCTTAATGTAGGCACACCCAGAGAGGGAAGCAAGTTAGGAAAAAAAGTCCTACTATTGGCATCCGGTGTTCATTGGTATTGCTTGTACTAAGAAAGCAAAACCAGCTGTGAATAATGAGTTAGATCCTTGATCAAAGTATCTGGAGCAAGATGAAACTGCTGCTCATCTGTGCATAAAAACATCATACGGTCACTCTGTTCTGCTGCATTTGTAGGAGTAACTTCCAATATGCTGTGCCCTTCATCAGCTGTTGAATATGGGCAGGGTTTATGGCTTCCTTTTTACTGTCCCAGGCATAACTCACTTGCATCCCTCTCCACCCACACATATACGTACTCACAAAACATTTCTCCATCTTTGTGTCTATGGTTCATTGCTCTTTTTTGTTCTGATCTGACTAAATTACTTGATAACACTGCAATTCATTGTTACATTTCACTGTTTCCTTCCCTAACCTAAACATCACAGCTCTCTCTAGGGGGCCACATCCTGCTTTAGAAAGCTTGCTCTCATAGTCTCAGACTTGATAGATTTGCTGTGGCTTGCAGAGTGATCCACCAGAGGAAACACAAACCCCCCTGGAGAGACCTCAGGTGGGACTGATCTGTATGGTCTTGAATGTAAAGAGAAGGTGTAACTGTAAGTGAAAATCTGTAAACGGACTATTAATGTAAATATGGATCTCTGCCTTCTGCAGAGAAACTGGACTGGGTTTTTGACTTCAACTTTAGATCCCAGACAATGCTTTTTCCAAGAGAGGTTGGACCAGATGATCCTTAGGTCCCTTCTAACCTGGTATTCTATGATTCTCACTAGCCTTAGGTGTACTGGGCATAGGGCTTAGGGTGCAGTACTGGGTACAGCTGCCTTGTTGATGCAGTAGAAGGAGATGGGGCTTGCCCCTGTCATACAGGATGTACTGCAGAGTCTCCCTGCTGAGGACTGCTGTCCCCTACTGCCCCTGATAGTTGCCCTGACGTAAATAAAATCGAACCTGTTTGCTGGCGGTAAGGCTGAACTCTGCTTCTCCTAATTCACAAAAGGAAAAAACAAGAACAAATGGCTAAAAGCACAGGGTTTTTTTGTGACCTTTCAGCATGGTTGTGCTGAAGAAGTGCCTGCTCCTTTCCAGGCACTCTGACATTTCCTGAATCCTGTATAAGCATACTGAGGTTCCTGGGAAGGCCCCACTGCTTCAGCCCTAATTTAGCTGTCTTGGCATCAATGTGTGACACAGTGGAGGCACAGACCATCATAAGAGGGTTCCCACTGAGGGTGATTTGAGGGTGATTTTACTGACCTGTGAGCAGCACACGATACTGGAAGACACGCTGCACCACTTTCAAAAGCTGGTGTTTCACGCTCTGAGGGCTGCCACCAGAGCTCTGCTGTCCTCAGTGGAAGGGAAAAGAAACACAAAGATCAGGGATGTACGAGCTCAGCAGCAAACTGTCATCTTCACCTGATGGGTACTATGAAAGGTTGCTACCATTTGCATGCATAAACTCCATTGAACCATTCCAAATTTACTTAGCTTGCTAGAGGGTATGTCTTTGTGACTCTAAAGAAGTACTGTAAACAGTTTATTTCCTGTGGCATCATTCACAAATAGTTTGGACCCAGGGAGAAGAGGAAGGAAAGCAAATACCATTTAGAAGGTAAAGGTAGGATAAAGATTTTCAGGTGGCATCTGAAGACAGAGGTATCAAACCTCCGTGAATCTTATCATCATTGTTCCTTTTTGGGCTGAAAGTTTCTTCAGGCTGTCTTCAGTTAAGACACGTGGCTGGGAGGATTGCTGGGAACACACGCTTTCGGAAGAAAGCCTGTATTTGCCAAGTTCACGTTCAGTACATCATCAGAGCTCCACTCAGGTGCTAACAGGAAGTAATTGTGGTGACTCAGGGTATCTGTTTGTAAGTGCTGACTTTCAAACATCATTTGAAATTATTTGTTATTTTTAATATTTCACATGTATGCAAGCCATACCCCACAGAGCTGGCATTCTAAATAACCTTTGAGGTCTGATCCTTTGAGGTGTATCCTTACAGCCCATCTCCACCGAGGTAAACATTGTTATTTCTGTTACCAGATAAAGATGATAAGAAACAGGGATTCTAGACCCACAATAAAGCAGCATAGCTTTTAACCATTTTAGCTCAGCGTAGCCCAACTGAACTTGCCACGTATGGGTTTATGCTTCCGAAATTATGTGAAGTGGCCACATTTCCAGTACTTTAAAATGCAATCAAGTATCATGGAATTTCTGTCATATGTATCTTGATGATACTCTTCAGTTATCCAGCATGGATGACTGAGTTAACACAACTGGAAGATATGTATTTCTTGCTACAGAGCCAGAGGTTACAGGTCTAGAGGTTACAGACCATTGAGGGAGTCTAGATAAAAAGAACTCTGTATGCGTCTGGCCAGTCACAACATCCTCTGTAAACAGAGGAAGTAGTTAATAGGCATTTAAAAATGCAGAGAAATGCAAGTGTAAAGATGTTGTGGGTTGATCACTGCTAGCGGCTAAGCACCTCTACAAGCTAACCCTAACTTCATCCTGGCCAGATCCAGTACAAACAAAAGGATAGAAAATGCAGTGAAAGAAGAGAAGGTGTGAAGAAGTGGTAGTAATAATAATAATAATAATAATCTCTTACTCGTCCTCAAAGAGCTTGATAAGTTAATGTGTAACTGAGAAACTACCCCACTGTGTGCATATATTTCACCAAAATATACTCACAGATCTGTAAATTCACAAACATAGTGTATGCACACACAGGGGTGTGTGGGCAACAGACACAGAAAGACGAATGTATCATGCACGTGTGAACATCTCACTTCAGTTTTAGCACCAGGATATGTGAAGGAAACTATTCTCTCATTCTCCCCTATGTGAACACAGGTGGAACTGCAGAAAAAATATCTTTACCTAAGCCCTGTGTCACTACTATTCATTAATGCAGGTAAAAAAACATGGGAGCCTTACCTCAAACTCCTGAATTATGGTAGCCAGTTGGGAATCTTTAAGGCAGGTTTCATCTAGCAAAGCCAAATTCTTATCAAACTGCATAATGTATGCTGTGTGGTGATTCAGCCTTGATTTTCTGGAAAGAAAAACATCAGCAACTTTCTGGTGTTCTTCCCTAGGGCCACAGAAAGAAAAGAAACAGCAAATAAATAAAAATTAAAGAAGAGCCACCTCTTTCTCATTGTGTTACTCCCACAGTAACTAAGGACAATGTTCAGCTAAAGCCCAGGTGAAATTGCAGGAAAGAGGGAGTGCTTTGCTGACGTACTGGACGACAAAACAGACTGCTGTAGAATGGGCACCACGAGGGGCTGGTCCTTCGGCTGTGCCTTCACCGTAGCAACACCGTGTGTCCATAGTGGGTAGAATGTCTCTTTTCCGGACACAGCTTCCACTTCTCTAAACAGACCTTCTAGCTGCTGCAGTGCTTTGACCATTGGTTGTGGGGGGGAATAAATTAACATCTTCAGTTGTAATACCATATCTTTATGCTGGGCGTCGTGAGGCACTGGCACAGGTTGCCCAGGGAGGCTGTGGATGCTCCATCCCTGGAGGAGTTCAAGGCCAGGCTGGATGGAGCCTTGAGCAGCCTGATCTAGTGGCAGATGTCCCTGCCATGGCAGGGAGGTTGCAACTAGATGATCTTTGAGGTCCCTTCCAACTCAAATCATTTTACAATTCTGTGATCTTCAGGTGTCCTTCATTGCCCCCTTCTCTGCACTGCCCCACCATCATCTGTCTCAGCACCCAGCTGCACGGTCTTGAAATATTTCCAAACATGCACAAGGAGAGAACAGGACCAAATCTAAGACTGCAGAAGAGAAATCATAGTTAAGAAAGAAGCATGAATTCTTGAGGATGCCAGAGCAACAGAGTGCCTGGGGGAGTGCAGGCACAGGGAAGGACTTCCTGGAAGTTTCAAGGCTGGTGGTGACCTGGGAACATGTATGAGCGCAGCCCTATGCCATGTGTCATTCTGTTGTGCTGGCAGCATTTGCAGTACAGCTCTCTTTTTTCCCCAGGGCCACAGAGCAGTTCTGGACAGAATCTCAGGGCATTTCCAGCTGTGTCCCTTCAGTCTTAGTGAAAAGGTAGCATGCTGCTAGAGTAGGGTTGTAACTTCTTTAGAACACAAGAAGTCATTTTAGATCCCATCAAGAAACACCACTTCTGTTTGTGTTACGAGTGTATAAATCATAAACCGTAAATCTTTGGTTAAATCATTGATTAAATCTTTTAAGTCTTTCTGCCATTTGCAGAAATGTCCCTTGGTGGACAAGAAGCAATTTACAGTTCCCGTTAGCCTCTTCTTTCGTTGTTGTGTGCTTTGACTTGAAAGTGCAGGGCTGATGAGGAGAGCTGTGCCCTCCCTTTAGGATTGTTGCTGAAGCGTTCTCCCAATCAAATCGACTTCTGTAACTGTTCAGTGGCGGTGCTGGGATAAGATCAGTCACTGTCAGTGACCCCTGCCTCCTGGAGTCCATCTTGGTGGAGGTGTAGGGCTGCATGTCCATCATAAGCTGTCAGAGACACAGTAGTTCAGACTAGCCCAGGGGCCGTGCCGCCTATAGTAGGTTTAGTCAGCTTGAGTCTGTGGAGGTAATTTCTCTTAGACATTCTTATTCCAGCAGTTTGATAGACTATGGCCTGGCAGCCTGGCTTAAGTCAGAGATCCCCTGAACCAAGTGAGTTTTGGCGCTCTGTCTGTCTTAGGCGTGGTCCTTTGCCCTGTAAGGATGTTTGACTTAGCTGGAGTGCATCAGCAGCCTGGCAGTGGCTTGGGAGCCTGGCCTGTGCAGAGCCCTGCCCTGGCGCAGGGAGCGAGGTGGTTTCCGTTTCCAAGAGCTACACAGTTGCTGTGTAGATTTGTGTAAGCAGATGATCTTTGGGATCAATTCTGATGACTGTTCCTGCCTCCCACGGCATGTGCCTGTGACCTTCAGGCCATGAGTGTGAAGCCGCTTGGTGATGAGCACGACCTGGTACCAGAGGATCACGCATAGGAAACAGGCTGTCCTCTGACTGCTGGGGTCATTTTGGAGGCTGTGCACTGCATGAGTGTTTCAGTACTTGGTTTCTTAGCCTGACAGCCTCTACATTTATTTTCTTCCTGCCTGTATGCAAAATCTGGCACGGTAGTTCAGGTTACTCCTTCAGCCTCTGCTGGAATCCCAGCCTCTCCACTACTGGGCTCAAGGGAACACTGACAAGTTCACCCACCTACTGTGGAGGGTATGTTAAGAACATCAAACCATGCCATTCCATACTTACCATTTAAGGACTCTTTCTTCCAGTTCACCCATGATGTCTTGGTGTAATTCATAAATTTCAGGGAGTTCACTTAAACCCTGCTTGAGTTTATTTTCTTCCTGTTCGTTTTCACCTTCCTCTCCAAGCACTTTCAGGATACCTTCATAGAAATCCTGTGAACAACAATACAAAAATTAGGCAAATAGATTTAAAGTCTCTTTTCTGAAATTATCATTACAATTTCTTGAGTCCTAAACTATGCTTTCTAGGAATTGTAAGATATACCATCAATAGTGATAGAGTGGGCTCCATATAGAAGAGAGATCATAGCGTATGTTTTCTTCCATCCATTAGTTCATACACATTTTGAGCTGCATTCCACAATGCTGTCAACTCGAAATTGAACATTTCATCTGACCAAGCCATCAGACCCTTATTCATACAGTAAGTTTGGTATCTTTTATTTACCTTGCCTTTCTTTCATGCTTTTTTTGGGTGTAGTTGGTCTCATTTTGTAGTGCTCCTTTGCTAGAAACATAATTTTTAAAAATGTAGAATCACTTCACTGGGTCAAAGAGCTTGAAAAATGTCACTGTCTTTGTGTCTTGTGCTAAAATTTGCAACAAATGTTTCCAGATCCGAACTTCAAGAGAGAAAGAAGCTATAAAAATAATTTTCCCTATGAATAAGTTTAAGCTGTGGAACAAAGAATTTTCCCTATGAAACCTGAGACCTTTTTCCTTGTCTTAGATATGCATGTCCTCTCCTCAAGTGGTTTATATATTCTGTGGGCACAGGAGTAATGTCCACTATATTAAAATGCAGCCAGCTCTGGCACATAATGGGGCACCTGTTTAAGACCACACAGCAAAATGTTTCCTCAGCTTTGACTGGGGTGTGTGAGCATACAGATCTCACTCCTGTCTTCTGCGCATACCTGCGCCAGTGTTTGCATGGGAAAGCACGCACGGGGAGGTGGCTAGGTGACGTAGGAGGTTAGCAACTGTGCTATAAGACCACATTTCTGAAACATGAAACTTTTCATTACATTTTAGGTACCCATAAAAAAGACCTTTACAGCCATCCAGTGGACAAATCCCTGACATGCCTGAAATAAACCCTAAACCACAGCCACAAAAGTTGTGGGTTTTTTCTTCTTTTGTTTGTACACATCACTAACACACACAAGTTACATTTTTTTCTCTAAGAATTTTTGGCAGAGTGCTTAGCAAGAAAGTTCTCTGCGGGATTCAACATCTGTGTGAAATGTGCTATTCTAATCCAAAGGCAAAAGTGGTAGTTAATGGGACAAGAGATAGTTCTGGGATTTGCTTCTGGGATTTTGTGAGCAGATGCAGAAACACTGAGGTTCTGTATTGAATGGGGTTGAATATGCTTTGGAATTCAGCTGCAAAAATCAACTGTAGTAATCCTGTACGCATATCAATGGACGTTTTGCAAGATGGATACATCCCATACATACTGTGGTCCTTCCTGCACTTCAGCCCTGTTGCCAGTTAGTCTTTATTAGCTTGAGAATATTTAAACTTGCAGGACCCTAGTGAAAGGAAGGAAGACTAATCTGTTAGCTAAACCACTGCTTCAGGCAAGTAACCAGGAGAAAAAATCTGCCTCTGGGTGTATGTGTGTATGTATGTATGTATGTATGTATGTATGTATACATATATATATTTACATTTACTATTTTGAGTGATTTCTGTTCCTTAACTTCTACTTGAAAATAATTCAGGGTACAGTAATTCAGTCTGGATCAGTAATATCTGTTTGCTTTTCCTGTGTATAACTGAACAGACCAGCTTAGATCAGTTAATCCAATGGCCTGTGGATCCCTGGGGAACAAGGGACTACTGTAACCAGTCTAGCAGAGCAAGTCAGGAAATTGTAGAAATCAGTCTCCAACTCCACTGCAGAAAACTGATGGATCTGCCACCTGCAGTAGGCTGAAAGCAACCATGTAGACTAGAAAGTTGAGTAGACTGGAAGAGAGGAATTCAAGTTTCTGACTTAAAGGTGTAGCTACTATACTTGACGCTTTGTGAGTGGAGCAAGGGAGGACAACAGAAACTCTTACTGCACCCCAAACTTTGTGCAGCTAAAGTCTACACTGATTGCATAAAATGGTGCAGGCTTTTACAACCACTCTGATTTCTCAGATGAGAGTAGATTCAACAGATACTGCCTATTTCAGGATCCAAAGCTCTTTTGGGTATCTAGGCATTACACCTGATAGGAGGATGAAGAGTTAAACGGGGGAGAAAAGCGTCTCCATATTAAAGCTGAATGCAGGCATGAAATGCTGGGCGGTGTGCTGTGAGCCAAGTCTGATTCATAGGTAGTTCTTGGAGGTATCTTCACTACAGCCAGCAGCCTCTCTCCTACTGATGAAAGTGAAAGTGGCATCCTTGAATTAAAATGTGGCACATCTCCTGTAGCAGAGTGAGTGACCCGTAATCTGTACTGAGCAGTGATCTTCCCATTCTCATTACTGAGCTCAGCAGAAGCAATGCCAGATGAACAGCAGAAAATACTACCGCATCAGACAAAAGTAGTCTCTTACCCTGTCTTTGCAAGGTACAATCTAGGTCAGGAATCCTGACCTGAACACACACTCACATGCAAATAGACACATTGATCCAAAACACTGCAGATGAGTTCCAGAACTGGCAAGGTGTAGAGCACGCATTGCAAATACTGCATCGCAGTATCACAGAATGCCAGGGATTGGAAGGGACCTCGAAAGATCATCTAGTCCAATTCCCCTGCCAGAGCAGGAACACCTCGATGATGTTACACAGGAAGGCGTCCAGGCGGGTTTTGAATGTCTCCAGAGAAGGAGACTCCACCACCTCCCTGGGCAGCCTGGGCCAGGGCTCTGTCGCCCTCACTGAGAAGAAGTTCCTTCGCAAATTTAAGTGGAACCTCTTGTATCTGTGGGTCTTGTTACCAGGGAATTGTCCTGATGCCAAATGTGCTCGTGTGACTTCCCTCTCCTTACAAGAGATACATAGATTATCTGAAAGCTATTTTGGTTCAACATTCCACTGCAGAAGCTCTCTGGATGATACATAGGTATTCTTCCACTGCCAGTGAAGATGACAATGAATAAATAAACGAGAAAAAACCCAACAGCCTACCATAAGTGAGGGCAGGCTGTTCTTTTGTAATGGTGCGTCTTGAGGCTTTTATAAGAGCTTCAGAGGGTCTAAGAACCAGCTAGCTCTTCATTTAGCCAGCACGTTCCATTCACTAAAGCATTTAATTAGGAAAGCAATTACTTGATTGGTCCAGCAGAACTTTGAACATCATCCAAGAAATTCACAGTAGTAAAAAAGGCTTAGCCAATCATTCCATGGAATTGTAAATAATTAGAAAGATGGAGTTCTGTTTTGTCTAACATGTAATAGTGGCTCCTAAATCAGATGTTTATTTTCTGTTCTCGAGAATGTGCTGCCCGCAAGATTTCTGAAAGTAGAGTTTATCCACTGAGCCTGACTTTCATGATAATCTGCATTTAGGTAACTTTGAATTAGTGATTTGAGCACTGAGATGATTTTGCTCTTTTTTATTTCTTAAGATTTATTTTGCAGTCAGAAGACTTAGGATGCCCAGTGCAGGGTTGGATCCCAAACTGCTCCAGAGGCTGGAGAACCAGCATGCATTATATCTATTCATATCACATTCATATCTATATCTTTAAATGCTGAGGATGCGTAAGTCTAGGTCTTGGTGTTTCTAAGAATTGTGGCCCATTGTTATGAGGAAAATGCAGACCAGGAAACAGGATCAACTTTCTCTGAACACAGCGGTATTGGGGCTGTTTGGTTTTTTTAGTGCAGAGCTGTCCTTTTAGGTACCTTCATTCAGTAAATACCTCGGAGGGAAGTAATAATAACTTGAAAGGGTTTAGTGCACAAAAAAGTCAATTTTATGTACAAAAGCCACATGATCATGAACATAGTTCACTATCCAGTAGATGCTTGACCCCATAGAGACTGGGATCCTGAGGCAGTCTGAGACACACTAAGTTTGCTTTGTGTACATCTAGTAAAGTCACCTGAAGGGAAGCAAATAAACCAGACTCTTGGTCCTCAAAGGTGATGTGTGAAACACTAGGCTGAAAAAGCAACCTGCAGTATTTTTGTTCAGGAGCAAGCACTAAGAAAAACATGACAAGTACAGCCTGCATTAGTGGGAAGAAAACTAGGAAAAAAGAATGACACAGTTTGAGGATTAAATGATCCTGAACGAAAAGCAAAGTCTAATAAACTTCAGCAAACTGAATTGTAAGTACCAAGAGATCAGGGACTTGAACTGCAAGGCCCTGTCAGTCCCATCTGCTGAGTCCAGAATGAGTTCTCCACTCACTGCTCCGGAGAATGACATTACCTTTGAGTAGGGCAAATTACAGCTAACCATTTAGATTATTATCTCTACTACCACACCAACTGATACTGAGTTTGTGAGCTAACACAATGTTTCCACTCTTTCAGTTCAATAGTAGAGTGGGTGTATGGAAATGTCATCGGTTTGGCAATCAATCAGCTTATTAAAATCTCTGCTTAAAGGCCAAACAGGTTCTGTTATGCTGAATGAATAGCAGCTCCAGCCAAGCCTGGAAATGAGATGGGAAACTATTGCTGCTGCAGGCTTAAGAAAAACCTTTCTTTCCATTCTGAAAGCAGTTAGGGTGTGGTTTAGCTCCTTGCCTTTCTTACCAACATGTGGGTTTGTATAAGAAGATGATACTTGAGACTTAAAGAGGAGCATTTAGAAACTTTTCTTGAGAAAGTTGGTGATAGGGAACAGAGGGGGATGTGTTTTCCTGATCTGAGATAGGCTGCCAAGGAAACCTTTGGTCCTAACTACTCATGAATGGGGTGTTGTACTTTGAGGACAGTTTGGTGACTCTGTGGTCACTGATAGTTGCCTGTGACATCTGCCAGATGCTTGCAGACATCAGCCTACAGCAGTAGAGATGGGCTATGCTAGACCTATAGGCACCCAATAAAACACAGAAATGAACTCTCTGATCCCATTCCCATGAAGGGATTTGATCTCTTCTGAATTAAGGAGTGCCTGAACTAGCAGTCAAGTGTGAAAGCAGACTGGCTGTTCCTCTCTTTTCCCTCATTGTCTAACCCAGGTACCACTCATACCACTCATCCTCACTACTCAGAAAAAATTAAATCTTATCTGAGGAAGTTGCTTGTTGACTCTGCTGTAAAAAGCCTCCAGTAGCCCTTAAAAAAGTGTATGCATCTGGCGATAGGGCAAGAAGGATACTTTTCCACTGCAGAAGAAAATCATTAATTGAAGTTGTGCACCCAAAATTCACCATAAAATTTATATGGATCTTCCTGAACTTTCAAACTTGAGACAATGGGAAAATAGGATTCAGTGGAATATTCCGTTATAGGACTGAAACATATATGAAAACCAAACAAGTGCTTCCAATTAAGATTGATGACTGACAGAAACAGAAGAACTTGCCCAGTCATAGGAGTGCTATTACTGGAATCTTTTCCCCCATAAATAAACCAGCTGAGATGCAAGCCTAATATTAAATATGATTAAAACAGCGCCAATTTCCCTTATGCCTTAAAACCAGCACCGGCCGGCCAAGCTCCAGGTAATGTTACCTATGTTCTGTAATCAACATTTCTGCTTAGAAAGTGTCTGAGTTCCCCAGCAGGAGAACAGGGAGTAGCTACATTTTTCAGTAAAGCCAGGAAAACTCTCTATTTTCGCTCCCTTATACCTTTAAGCCAACTCTGGAGCACTGCAGCAGATAAAGTTAGCAACCAGGCAAAGTTTTTCACTAACCTATGAGCTGTAATTTTTATGAAGATTCTTTTTATTTGGGATTACCAACAGTTTGGAGTCCATCCAGCTGGAGGGGAGCAGCATGCACTTGCATCCATAAGACTTTCTAAACTGCAAGAATTTAGCCAATGTATAAAACAGAAACCCTGTCCAACATTAAAGTTGTCAACTTGGAAAAGAGAGCAAAACTGACATTTCCTTCCACAGACAGAAAATTTCTACAGACAGAAAATAAGATTATTTTGGAAATGGGTAAATTACTCAGTTGCACAAACCTCCAAGCCAGATTCACCACACAGTTTACCAGAGAAAGGAGAAAAGTGCAAAGTCCTGAAGGGACTAGGAAAGCCCTGAAGCATCCCGTTCCTGGCCCAGCAATAGCATGGGCAAGGCATCCTGACAGTAGGGTGTGCAGACATTTATGCTGTGGCTATAGGCTCTGAAGAGCATTGATTTGGATCTATATATTGAAGATTTTTCAGGCCATGTTAGTGAGCTACTTTTATCTCCTAGAGGTATGTGGAACATGCTAAGATACAATGCAAAGGAGAGGCCTTTCCTAGACATCTCCACTAAACACAGTGCACAGTGCCCTGCATTTACATGCTTTCCATAATGTACCAAAGTACATATGTACTCAGAAATGGAAAATTAAATACATTAAGAATATTTTAATCTAATGAAGACGCAGAGTGGCTAATACACTCTGTGCATGGTAATTCCCTGTGTATATATTTCTCTTCTATTTTGATCTAGAAGCTGGGAAAGGCTTTTATCTTTTGGATTTTTTTGTTGATAACACTTCTGGAAATCTTAATTTCAGTAGGTGGTTCTTCTGGTATTCTTAATGATCAGAAGCTCCCCTGGCTTCCCCAGGGGACAATGATAACTACAACTGTGTCATACTAGTGTCAAATAACGTGTTTGACTGTGCAGAAATCGGCGGGGGGAGCCAGGATAGATGAGGCAACTGGCTAGGTAGATTATCACCAACTTACCAAGATATTGGTAGACTCTAGCTAAGCAGCTAAGTCCCTTAAAGGGTTTGGTTCCCAGCTGACCAGTTTGGCAGTTCCTTATTTGTTGAACTGCAATTCAACCTTTCCTTAAAAGGAAGCAGAGTGAATCCATTCAAAGCAAATCCTCATGCATCATAGCTCTGCTCCTGTCTCTCTCTCTGAAGAGAAAGAGTTCACTCCTGTTTATCGCTGTCTCCTTCTCTGAACTGGGTTTATTCTGTATCTTGCATGAGTCTCAGAGCCCCAGCAAACACTGCTGGCCAACGCTTTTCCCTGCGAATGGCAAATACTAGATTTGAGGATCTATAGCAAGAGCTGATTAATGGCAGACATAGTCATTTGCAATTCCTTTGGTTCACAGTAAGCCATTCCTCCTCAAATTCACCTCAGTCCCTTCAGCGCTTTTATGTCTCCTAAACTGCAACTAGGTAGAAGGGCAGTGAGGTTTCAGTGATTAAACTTATTTACTTACCATACATAACAGCTGGAGCATCTCCACATATCTGGGGAAAGAGACAAACTTTCATTAATTGCCATCAAACCAATGCTGAAGTGTGGGTTGCATAGCTTCAGTTATAGGAGAGGAACAGATAGTTTGTATTAATGAACTCACACTTTTTCTGAAGACATCAGCTCCTGGGCAATGAGGTAAGCTCTGGACTGGCCTTCTTTCTGTCAACAGCAGAAAACAAAGACAATTAAGAGATGTTTTACTCCAATAAGTGAAACACTGCTAGAGAGCACTTTGAACTTACATATTCCTTCAGTAAAAACAGTGACCAGGCTTTTATTTTTTGTTTAGAGTCTGGCATCCTGGAGTCCTTTCCATGACACGATGTTTCCACAATTCAAATACTAGTAATATAGTACACTATAATAGCTGCTAAGGCAGATGTGAAGTTTGAAAAATGTGTTCTTATTGAAAAAATAGAGAATTTTTCTGTGATTTTTACAGGTCCAAAATTTGTCAGAGAAGCAGGAAGCACTTAGCTTTGAATAGGCTAGCTTCATGGCTTCTGAGGCTCAGATCATAGAATAATAGAATCATCAAAGTTGGAAAAGACCTCTAAGATTATCAAGTCCAACTGTCAAGCCAACACTACCATGACCACTAAACCATGTCCTGAAGTGCCACACCTACACGTTTTTTGAACACCTCGACTTCGCTGGGCAACCTTTTCCAATGTCTCACCACTCCTTCAGTAAAGAATTTTTTCCTAATATCCAATCTAGACCTCCCCTGGCATAACTTAAGCCCGTTTCCTCTCCTTCTATCACTGGTTACTTGAGAGAAGAGATCAAAACCCACCTCACTAGAATCTCCTTTCAGGTATTTGAAGAGAGTAATAAGGTCTCCTCTCAGTCTCCTCTTCTCCAGACTGAACAACCCCAGTTACCCCAGCCACTCCTCATGAGACCTGTGCTCCAGACCCCTAACTGGCTTCATTGCTCTTCTCTGGACCTTCTCCAGCACCTTGAAGTCTTTCTTGTTTTGAGGGGCCCAGAACTGATCACAGTGCTCAAGCTGTAGCCTCATCAGTGCCAAGTACAGGGGCACGATCACTTCCCTACTCCTGCTGGCCACACTATGTCTGACACAGGCTAGGATGCTGTTGATCTTCTTGGCCACCTGGGCACACTGCTGGCTCATGTTCAGCTGGCTGTCCACAAGCAACTGCAGATCCTTTTGTGCCAGGCAGCTTTCCAGCCACTCCTCCCCAAACCTGTAGAGTTGCCTGGGGTTGTTGTGACCCCAGAGCAGGACCCTGCCCTTGGCCTTATTGAATCTCATACAACTGACCTTGGCCCATCGATCCAGCCTGTCCTGATCCCTCTGCAAGCCTTTCCTAACGTCGATCACTCAACACTCCCGCTCATTTTGGTGTCATCTGCAAACTTACTGACAGTGTACTTGATCTCCTCATCCAGGTCATTGATAAAGATATTAAACAAGACTAGTCTCAGAACTGAGCCCTGGAGGATGCTACTTGTGACCATCCGCCAACTGGACTGGATTCTGTTCACCACAACTCTCTGGGTTCAGACAGTTTTTAATCCAGTGAAGAGTATACCTGTCTAAGCCATGAGCCCCCAGCTTCTCTAGCAGGGTGCTGTGGAAGATGATGTCCAAGTTTTCTCTTCTCTCTCATGTTCTCTGCACAGGCATAGCAGAGCGAATGAAGGGCATGTGTTTCTTTCTGGGTCATCTGGCCCAACGCTGGCTGCCCAGCACGGCCTCTGGAGACAGGCCTGGCTCCACAGCGCCCAGAAGCAGAGTGCATTTCCCTAGCAGGCCAGGCCCACTTTTCCTTCGCATATGCACATCGTCACACTCTGTGATTTCTCTTGTGATTAATACGTCTTAGTCAAGATACAAAACACAGGGACCGCACTGTCACATGGCCTGTCTAGGGCAAGCTTGAGACAGTGTCTCTAGGCGTTGCCTGTCTTGTGTTGTTGAATTGCTGTTTGTTTAACCAGGAAATGAACTCTGAGACTGACGACAGTGTCCGGAGACAGACTTCTGGGAATAGGGGATAGCAGGGATGCAGGTCCCTCAAGCATCACGTTTCTGAGACAAAGTCTAAGCGATTGTTACAACACTGCCAAGCTCCCACCTTCCTAATAATCTTTACTTGCGGCCAGTCCTGTGCCCAGCCCTCTGGTGTGGTTCCTTTACAGTTTCAAATTCAGAAGCTGCACTCCAGGCCTCACAACATGCCCCTGCCTAGCAGATGGAGGCCGTGCAGCCATGTAGGGACCCCAGCTTTCTCCTTCGCTGAGTCTTCTTGTCTCATAGTCTCATCACTCCATCCTCCCCAAAACCAAATGGCTAATAAAATGTTTTCAATATACAGTACAAAATTGGAAAATAGGAACCTGAAGTATCTCCCCATTCTCTCCATTCTGAAAAACATGGTGGTGCCAGGAAGGTCACAAACACAAAAGCACTTTAACCAGGTTAGGAGCTTGTACAGTTGCTACAGCTCAGCTGATCAGCATAACATGCTGACATGGTCTAACTGCATCTCTTCGTGCATTTTCCTATGTGTGTGTGTCTTGTTTCACAAAATCCTCAGGGCAGGTGAACTGTAGCTGAATGGTAGCCAGCACAAGAGTGCTGCTGTTACAGTCAGAGGCAGACAGCCTTTGTCAGCTCAGCCTCTGAGCTGAGTGACTTCATATTGCCGCTTCTGGTAGTTATTATGAACTGTGTAGCAGTTCACAGTGATGTCGCAGTGGTGTCAACAGTAAACTGAGTCACTACAAAACCAAGTGGCTTTTTCAGTCTGGCTTTGTGAATCAGTGAGAGAGAAAGAAAAGCAGTCCACAACTCCTGTCTCCCAGGCTTCTTCCTTTAAGAGCTATTCTGCAGTTCTCCTGGGGAATCTGTGTAATTATATAAATCAGGAGCTGTCCCTTGACAGGCATCTGAATTAGGTGCTTCCTCAAGGCACACAAATCTGTCATTTCCAACTCCACTATGTTTCAGTTTTGTGTGTGTGTTTTAATATGTGAAGGTTAAAGGTTTGCAAAACAGAGTGATTAATGGAGTCTGGAAACCCAGCCCACACAGTGGAAATTGATAAGGAGCAGCAGAGACAGTTTTATGTACTGCTGCCATGAGACAGTAGCTGCCCTGCTTGTTGTGAGACCTTTGAGGCTAAGCTTTCTGTTCTCCGTTTGTGTGGGGCACAGGTCCCTTCCATCTGCAACACTGGGTTGCTGCTCCCCTTTTCATCTGCTGCTTTTTATTTTCATACCTGGGAAAGGGGTGGAGTGTCTTACTCCAGTGGTGCCTTCTCACAAGTACAGCATTAGGGATCATTTCTTTATGACGTTCTCCTTAATGCCTCATGTTCCAGGAGTAGTATATAGTACCATATAGTATAGTACCATATAGTAGTAATGACCACCTCTCCAGTCTGACTAGGATTAGATATATCAAACCTGAAGTCCTAAATGATTAGCCAGAATGCTAATGGGGTTTCATTGGCATAAAATCCAGCCACATCTAGTCTGAATTCCTTTTTCTTTTACACCATTTTGCTCTTGTTACATGCTGTTCACTTTGCTACAGACCTGCATTTAGCCACCAGGGTAAGATCACATCTCTCCTATGCTGGCTGTATACAGTTCCTGGTAACATATTGCTTAACCTGACAGTATTTGTGTACAGATTGATTTACTTTTAGATTTCCCATACCGTCAACTGGCAGACAGATCTGCGTGTTGGATCAAAAAAATGTCTTTATGTTTCAGCTATGGCTTTATTACTTGTCCTAGGATTTGTATTAATTTAATTCTTGAATGCTTTGTAGACTATAATTCCTACAGGTTTTCAAGCAGATTAATATTTTCTTATTATTCTTCTGAGATTTCCTTCAGTTCTTCAAATCAGACTCCCTCCTATGTTTACAGAACAGTTTAAGAGATTGGTTTTAATTGCTCCTTTGCCTAGTAGCTTAATGTAGGGTTTGCTAAATATCATTCCGAATTGTAGCAGAGTTCTTAAAGTAGTTGCTGTTGCTACGGTATTCCTAGCACCCATTTTACCCAGCTGCTTTCTCCTTCCAAAAGCACCCTGTAAAAAAGATTCAGCCTCTTATCACTGTGGTGCAAACTGTGCAGTTGATCATAGGCTAAATGCCTTCCAGTGACTACTGGGGTTATTTTTAAGCCTTTTACTTTGTTTGATGAGCATAGCTTTAGCATGTGTGTGACACAGTCTGAATCAAGCAGTGTGATGGAAGTAACTCGAAGCCCTGTCCAAGGCAACATATTTTATGTGTTGCTACAGGACAGCCTTCATGGCTTTCTGCAGAACGCTGGAGAAAATGAATTCTTAAATTGGCAGATAGGTTCCTGCTCCTCACCCATCCCCACAGAACCCCAAACTTGTTCATCACTGTGTATTTCTGCAGAGAATTTTCTCACCACCATGGGGCCTTTGCTGCATCTCCTGCTAAGGTTTGTCCCACAGGTGTTTGCCCTTCCCCAAGCTTAACCTACTTCCCCACATAGAGTCCTGGTAGGAAGGCAGATGCATTCCTGATACTACAATCTCAGTGATTCACTTTAAAGGCTTTATGTTTCTACAGTGAACCTGACGGCTAGCACCTAGCTTTCTGCTTTACTTCCAAATTCTCTGGATCCAGCCCAAAAGTCATTTCTGCCCCCTGCATCCTTATCTTCAGCCAGACAAAAGGTTAGGTGTGGTAAAGGGTAAGGTGTATTTTGGGGCTCCCTTCAGGTTTATAACAATTGAAGATTGTAGGAGGTCAGTCACAAAAGGGATCAACTAGCCATAAAATCCAGTCTTAAAAAATACCTACAAGAAAGGAACTATCTGAAGACTCTTACTTGAAGATTCTGACAGTGAAGTGAGAAGCACATGCTGTGGAGGGGTAGCTGATGATCCCGGATATACAGCATTTTCCTCAAACTATTAAGGCAATTAAAAAACTCAGATAATAAACAGCAATAGGTGAAGCCTACCAGCATGTGTTGATTTTAATCCATTTCAAATCATGGAGCTGAGCTTCCTAAAAGTAGAATTTCAAGATTATATTCTGTCTATTTCTATTCGTCATTTCATTTAAAACTGGAAATTCTGAGACTGCTACAAAAAATAAGTTCTGCCAAAGCGAACTCAGTTTGAAGTTGGTTTC